CTGCGGGTGAGGGATGCGCCACAGGCCGGTGGCAGACCCGAGGCGGACGTGTCTGCTGCTCGCGCAGCCGTGCTGCTCGTCGTCCGCGGAAACGTTAAATCGTGTAGGAGCCGAGGAGCGGAGGCTCGTGTTTGCTCCCGATTGGTTTCATGGGGGTTTCCCAAGAATTAATTTTGCTTCACTGTGTATGGAGTTATGACCTTTTATTGTACAAGTACTCCCTAGCTGAATGCTTGGATGCTGTTGGGCACCTCCTTTCATGTGGCTCTTTACATAGCAAGGCAGATTTTGTTAATCTCTTTTCTTATCACTGAACAGAATCCAAGATCTGGGATGTGATCCGCGAGGTGTTGATCTGTCTCCGCTTCTGAAGCCCCGAGGATGGGGAGTTCCCCGTATTGAGCTGAGACCAAACGCTCGCTCTGTAAGTATGGCTTGTTCACAGACCGGCAGACTTTCCCCTTCGAGTCTGATCTCTTAGCTCTGCCCCTGCAGGAGTTTCAGACTTTTTCAAAAGATTTTCTTTTGCTCTGCCAGCTGTTTCCCACTTCGTGTCATTTCGTTGGGAAGATTTAGGCCTGCACTGCTCCCTGTCTCTGTCTCATGACTGTAATCAGCCTGGGTTTCTTGGCGTCTCTGAACACGCAGAAGTCAGTGGGAGATGGGCAAAAGCCAAAAATCCAGAAACGTATAATTAAGAGAGTGAGAAGAAGCCTGAAGAAGTACTACTGGTTCACTGACTGTGATTCCAGGCATTCAAATATTTTGTAGTATTAGCAGCTCTTTCTGGTACTGCGGGCATTGTAGTGTGCAGGGGAGTTCTGTGGTCGGCTTCCCCGTCTTCGCTAAGTTTTTCTGTTTCCAGCCAGGCGCCTCTTTTTTCCCCCTGGTTATAATGTTGTATTAATTTCCTATTTAAATATTCACAGATTTATGCTAATCTTTCATCTATTCAGCATAACTCAAAATGAATTTTGTCTCAGGTATGTAAATATGTATATATTGTTTTTTTGTCCCATGTGCTACTTTAGATACACATCTCACCTGGCAATTCATTAGTTTAGTTTTGTTGTTGCTTTTTATATGTTTTTTTTTTTTGCTGCTGTTTACTGAATACTTGAAACATTTCATGGCACTCTCCTTATTTTGTATGAGTCTTGATTTAAAAATTACCTGTTGACCTGAATGAATAACCTAGATTTTGTGTTCAAATGCCCTTGGACTAATTGAGTAAGATTCAATTCTTTGGCTTTCCTAAGCCCAGAGAGGACCTGCCAGCCAGTCAGCATATGCTAGTGCTTCCTTTAAGTTAGTGAAGTTCAACTGGTAAGGGAAAAAAAATTCTAACACAGCCGCTACTAGTGAGTCTCTGCATTGATTCTGCAATATTACATTTTAGTTGGGGCATGCATGAACCTGTCATGGTGCTGAGCTGCTGAAAGTTCCTCCTTGTTACCCTCCCATTGCCACAAGAGCCTTACCGCTAAGGTGGGAGGATGCGGACTTTGTGTGGGATAGTCAAATCTTAAGAACAGGGTGAAATAACAAGAATGTTCTTTTTATTTTAGTTCTGATGCTCTCCACTGTCTCACAGATTATAAAATCCTTTGGGTAAGGGAAAAGAAATACTTCACAGGAATCCTGTGAAAAATAAGGCAATTGTGAATTAATAAAGCTTGCAGTGCCAGAATGTGTTATATCACGATTGAATTGAGGTATTCAGTATTCCATGTTCATTAAGGTCCTTAAACTTTTCATAGGGCTTAGCTCTTCTAAGGTTAATGCTTGGATCTGTGTTTGAGAATGGCATTTGAAGGCTGCTAAATTTAAAAAGCTGTTAGTTTTCTATTTTTTTGGGCAAAAAAAATTATCTGTTTAATCTCTCTTGAGATTAAAATTGGCCAATACATGGAATTAAATGGTTCTATAGTATGTCGTCAGAGATTTGGTGTAAACAAACCCCTACTATCTTTACTCCTTCTTGACCTGAAGGAGTCAAAATTCAGTTAGCCAAAATTCATAGAGGGTGTTTGCATCAGATGGAGCTACTGAGCTAGTTGTTCCTTTGATGTGCAAAGCACACATAGAAAGTTCCATTTTTCTGAACACAGTAGGAGTTAAGCACCAAAGTCAGCTTCTTGGCGTACAGCTTCAAGCCTTTTTTTCAGAGAACAGGTTTATATCAGCTCTCTTTTCAGGCACAGGCTACCAAGGTTTCTTTCCTTCTCTCGCTCTCACGCATGTGCACGTTTCTGTCTTTCCATTGACATTCACTTTGCATTGAAATCCCTCTTGCTACATAGCTTCGTATTTTGAAGGGACCTTGTACGTGGTGTAAATCAGGTAGTGAGTATTATTTGTAGGCTGTCTTTTAACTGTTTCTTCAATTGGTTTGCATGGAAGGTAGCTGTTCTTCCCATGTGATCCTGTCAGGTTTCTTCCAAACCCACCTTCACAACTCAGATAAATGAGTTGCAGAGGCACTGCACACTTTTCAAAGAAGGCCTAGTTTTGATGCCAAGGAATTTTCCTCCCTTCTGCTAACCATTTTAAGCACTTATTTCTGCAGTGCAGAACTACGAAGATTTTAAATGATAAATAAGACGTGACATAGCAAGAACATCCAGACAGACATCCCAAAATGAGAGTGAAAACCTCTAACAGGAAATCGCTTCCATATCATACTTATATCTGAGGGATCTTTGTATTTTTACTATCTTAGCAGATCTGTTCTTGTCATACCATTTTTATCAAGATTGTTAATACTTGCCTGTGCTGGTGCATTTCTTATCGTGCCGACCTGCAGCGTGCTGGTGGACAGCCTTTTGAGATTTAACAGCTGAATTCACTTGTCACTCTTCAGATGTGTATTTACTTGAAAGTAGTATTTTTCTGAATAAATTTAATAAAGTGACAGAATGAAGCAAAGTACGCCCAATTCAGAGTTACTGGGAAAACACATTTATTGCAGTAGAATTTCATTGATTAAGACCCAAGGGACCTAACTGACTTACTGATGGCTTTATAGGAGAGAAAGATGAATACACCTAAATCATCTGGGGCTTGCTTCAAAGCAATAAAGCCTTTCATTGTTTTCAATGACTTTGGATTTTATCTCAGTTATAACCGTTATAATCGTCAGTTAAGAGTTGGGAGTTGTTTTTATGCATAGTACTAACAACCAGATAGTTGTTTCTCCTCCTCCTACAGAGCAGGATGAGCTGAACAATGTGGGGGAAGGGGGGACAGCATATTATGGCAATAACATGCTCTACTAGTGGGGGCAGAAAGTTGCATGTCGCAGTTGGATTTCCAAAATTTGAGACATGTTCTACTTCCCTTATAATCACTTCCTTTATTCAAGCCCTTGGTGGAGCAAAATTAAACAGTATTTACTATACAGGAAAATCTTTCATTTTTTCCTGATGCCCTAAAATGGTCAGTGATCAAAAGTTAAGGCACAGATGTAAGGGGGATGCTAACTGGCACTATGTAGCATGTCAGGAGTTCTGCACAAGCATGAAAGGTTGTCGTACAGAAGGACTGCAAAGTGAGAGTGTTTTGTACCTGTTTTTCCCTGTCATCCTAGGAAGCTGTGCTCTCCCCTTGCTATAAAAAAGATCTGGAAGCAAGAGGAGATAGATGAAGTAATTCAGAAAAGTGTTTTGACCTGCAGTTCCTCTTGTTTGGTTCACATCAAATAACTCTCTATCACTCATGATCACTGGGTGATAAACTAAAATCTTTGTTTAACCACCTAAGCCTGGAGGCACCAACCATGTCCTATAAATGTTGCTGTGTGATGAAATGTGGAGACAACGTAGCTAAATGAGGTACCGTTGACTGAAACTGTGTGATATTACCCTCTGTTGTACTGGGGATTTGAAGAAAACGGGGAAAACTCAAGAGCAGGCTCTTTCAGTGAGACTGTGAAGCTGCCACATGACATGAACTCAAAAGTGACATGTGGCGCAGGCTGCCCCACTGTCACTGTTTCAGTCCCCTTCAGTCAGTGTCATATATGTTTTCTGCAAGTACGGGGTCTGCTTGGTTAGATGATTATACCAGATTTCTATTTCTCAAGAAGAAACAGAAGCTTAATGTCTTGAAGGTTCAGCTTTGTAGTATAGCCAGGAAATCTGTCCATTAGAATTGCAAGCCTCTTTCATGCATGGCCAGTTCCAAAGGTCTGTACAACAGGGGTTTAGGAATGAAAAATGTCATCTGCAATTATGCATATTCTCATCATCTTCTGTCATGCAAATTCTTCCCCCCAAGTACGCAGCAAGTGTTTTGTTTGCAGATGTAGGTCAGCCACAAATTCTAAGAGGTCTAACATAAACATTGTAAGCAGAGGTTGATGTAAACAAATTTAAATCCAGTCTGAGAAGCATAACAAAGATATTTTCCAAAGGAGCCTGTTTACTAGATGTGTTTTCTTCTGGGTTTTCATTTTATAAAACATTGCTTTCCAATTGATTTGTAAAAGTACAATTGACAGAAAATACTCACCGTAGTTACAAAAGGAACTATCAACTTCGGACATGGATGGATAGTTCTTAATGAGTAACTTATTTTTTATAATAGTTTTAGGAATGTGTTCTTTTTCAGTATGCTATGTTGAAGTCTTTCTGCAGATAATTCTTATTTTGCCACTGGCAGAAGGCCAGTTCTAGATGTTTTGATAATAACTTACGTTCTTTTTGCAAATTCCATGCCACTGAATGTTTTCCTTTTCTTGGCTATCTTTAAAAAAGAAAAATATAAAAAAGTAATTTTTTTGTCCTTCTGATGCTAGAGAAAAGCTAGAACTATTGATCCAGATTCAGTAACAAAAGGCTAACTAGAAGAGCTGAAATTAATTAAGAAAAAATGTTGTGACTTTTTCAACCCATAAGCTTGTTGTGCTCCCATGTCTGACTCATGAATTCTGTATACCACAAGTTGGCAGTACAGTTCATCTTCAATATGTGAGTTGCTTGGATCAGCGCATACTATCAGAACTGAGATATCTCTTGGAGGTGTGGGATACTATGCTGATAAATGTACATGGGTACCAGTACTCTGTCAAATTCCATCCTATGTAGGAGAGTACACTTTGTTTTGTCCTGTCTACAAATACTGTAGCCATTGTTACACTGGAAAGATGATTCAGAGGGAGAATTCAGTATTTTTCCCAGCATACTCCAACAGATGTGCAGTTCTCCTAGAACAGAATATACATATTACTTACTTGTTATCACAAGATAGTAACAATTTGTTGTTATCAATAAATCTCTCTGAGCAAAGGTCTCAGAAAATAAGCTTGTGTTTAAGACCACACACTAACTTTAAATTTCCCTTCTCCTCACAGAGAGCAGACAATTTGAAGTTTC